CCCCCCCCCCTCTCCGTCCCCACCTCCTCCTTACACTTATAAATCACCACCACCACCCTCTCCATCACCTCCTCCCCCTTATGTCTACAAATCTCCACCACCCCCCTCTCCCCCCCCCCCCCCTCCCCCTTCCCCTTCTTTCTCTCTCTCTCTCTCTCTCTCTCTCTCTCTAGATCCAGCCATGGACGAGGCACCATCACCATCCAACACCTCGCCGGAGCTCAACCTCGAAAACCTCAAAGCCCTCAAGGTCTTAGGGAAGGGAGCCATGGGCACCGTCTTCTTGGTCCACGACCCGTCGTCCGACCCGTCTGCCCGCTGCCCGTTCGCTCTCAAAGTTGTCGACAAGTCCTCTCTCCGCTCAAAGCTCGACGCCGAGCGCCGCGCCCGCTGGGAAATCCAGGTCCTGACCCGACTGTCCGACCCGAACCCACACCCATTTCTGCCTTCCCTCTTGGGGTCATTCGAATCCGACGAGTTCATGGGCTGGGCCGTCCCTTACTGCCCCGGCGGCGACCTCAACGTCCTCCGCTACCGCCAAAACGATCGCGTTTTCTCCCCCGCCGTGATCCGGTTTTATTTGGCCGAGATAGTCTGCGCGCTCGAGCACCTCCATTCCATGGGGATCGCTTATCGGGATTTGAAGCCAGAGAACGTGCTCATCCAACAGTCCGGTCACGTGACCCTCACGGACTTCGACCTTTCCCGAAGCCTCAAGCACAGAACGGTAAAACCCGACGTCGTTTTGGAGGACGACGCCCCCGACATTCGTCGTAAACACCGGAGGCACTTGACACGTTGGCTCACGATTATAAACGACAATCACAGCAAGGGGCTGAAGAAGACCAAGTCCGCCCGAGTCAGCCCGGTGAGTCGCCGGAAGCCGAGCTTCTCGGACGGCGAGCGAGCGAACTCATTTGTCGGGACGGAGGAGTACGTGTCCCCAGAGGTGGTGCGAGGGGAGGGTCACGAGTTTGCTGTGGACTGGTGGGCCCTCGGGATTCTCACTTACGAGGCGCTCTACGGAACGACGCCATTCAAGGCCAAGAGCCGGAAGGAGACGTTTCGAAACGTCTTGACGAAAACGCCCGAGTTTATCGGGAAACGGACGGCGCTAACGGACTTGATCGAACGGCTGTTGCACAAGGATCCCACCAAGCGGTTGGGGTACGCCAGAGGCGCGAGCGAGATCAAGGAGCACGAGTTCTTTCGCGGGGTGAGGTGGGACATACTAACGGAGGTTACACGGCCGCCGTTTATTCCGTCTCGGGAGGATGGGGACTTAACGGAGAAAGCCACGGCTGGGGGAGTGAGCGTGAGGGATTATTTTCAAAAGTTGCGGTCTCCGCCGTCGATGCCGCCGTCACCAGATTGTCAATTGACGGAGTTCTGACACACGTGTGAAAGCTTACACGTGTAAGAAATTAGTATTAAAAAAAATTGTGTAGCCTCTGTATATAGAATAACGGTAGACGGCCTGTAACTTTGAGACGCAATAGACTATATAGTTAGCTAGACTTGTACCATATACGGATTCAAAGGGTGTACAACTTTTTATTTATTTATTATAGTGGAAGGAATCGAACTTTTGACCTAACTTAATCTCGAGTTAATCTTTCTTTAACTGAAGGGCACAATTAATTCAATTGTTCACGGGCAAAGTTTGTTCGAGTAGAAAAGAAAGCAGTGTCGATTAGATAGGTGAAGTTCAATTGTAGTTTGATTACAAGTAAAAGAAAAGAAAATGGAAAGGTGATTGGTTTGAAATTAAAAAACCCTTTGTGCAAGGTTCGTTTAACTTGAGCCTAATGCTTTGATTCATTACATTTATAATGGCAAAAGCAACTTTGTTGAGTGAAAGGGTTTATTGGTAGGGTCAAATGAATTGAAATCGACATCATTTTATTTACCAAAAGATAATTATAGTAACAACTGTTTTTGTTCCACGAAGAATGAAACTATATATATTTGGACTATAAATTATGGATGGCCATTTCCTATTACACGTGCTCAAGTTCATTGCCTTTGATTGCTTAAATTCATCGATTTAAAATATTGTAATTTCATCGATTACGAACTTGGATACAAAAAAGGTAAGAGGTTATGTTATGTTATGATTAGGGGACAAAATGTTCTTAAATTACGCAGTTTATTAGTAGATTATGGTCTTTAGTTCCAACTTTACTGAACAATTCATATGGCTTTATCTATGGCGCCTAATAGAATTGTATCTACAATGATTACAACTTTCCCACTACAAAAAAGCCATTGCAAATTTTCAACTTGAAAAAGGAAAAATTGGTAGGCCAAGAAATATTTATATGTATGGCCCTAAAAGCCCTAAAACCTGCGTTTTGAGCATAATATTCAGAGCCAAGTGAGGCACAAAGCTTGATCTGCCCATGGACCAGTTGGTGGTAAAGGCCTCGTAAGAGGGTACAATTGAATAGAATTTAGGTAAGGAGGGGAGAATATAGAAAATCCAAGAGCACGTGATTGATTATTTTTATTTTGAACATATTCGAGGGACCACTCGTGCGCAAAGAACAATAAAGTTTACAAGCTTTGGACACTGTACAAATCAGCTTTTACTGGCAAGTGGATGAAGTCTTAGCTTTTAAAATGGCGGTCTGCAAATTCTCCAAGGAAAGTATGCATGTATAGTGGTAATGGTGATTGGCTTCAAGGATTTTCCATTAACATAGTGGTAGTGGGTGAAATAATGCTTTGAAGTTTGGAACAGTCAGTATTGTCAGTGAGTTTTTTACTAAAATATCTTCATCGAGCATACCATGGATTAGGCCAATTGATTAAGTGAGTTTGTCTCTTTACACTCAAGTTCGAATTTCCATTCTCGTAAATCAGATTAATTTAGAGTTGCCTTTTGTTTAAAGTCATATTAAAGCAAATCCATAGAAAATATCAGAGTTTATTGTGAGACATTAAGCTTACGATTCGATTAATTAATTAGAGGAAAAAAAGAATAATCATGTCATTATCTTTCCTCTATTATATATGAGCAGACACATTAGGGCTATAGGGTAGAGGAAGATCGCATCAAAGAGCAAGTTATTGAATTAGATTTCCCAAGAATACAAGACAAAGCCACAGCAGTAGGGGGGCAATACAAAAATGGAAATTAATACCAAAGATAAAAATAGAATCGCAATTCATATTGTCAGCAGTAGTTGTATGTAGCATCAGGTGCTCAAACCAAACAAACCAATGCTGGAATCTGATGCCAATTAGTATGCAATAAACATGAACATATTATTCCAATTGTCGGCCAATATAAGTTAGGGCTACATGTCAGTATTCTCTCCTCCTCGGTGACTAGAGAGAGAGCTGGACTTTGAGGCCCCGCAGACGCTGAAAACCAAATGCAATCTTTGTCATCTACCTCTAGCTAGGGTTTAATTTGGCCTCATCTGCGTTTTATCAGGAATGGTCCTTTGCACTAGAAAACAACTTGGCCCTCCGGCTATATGCATGAAGATATGGTAAGGAGTAAGGCTTTTAGGCGGGGCCCTACCTAGATAGGCTAAACTTGCAATCCCCTTTCAACAAAGAACAAAAAAGTACTATCAAATTCCAAATCGTTTTCATCTTTCCCATCGCAACCCCCATTTAAGAATTTTTCCAATTGAGAGTAATAGAATAGAAAAGTGACCCCATCTGGCTGGTAAACTTTTCTCATGTAAATTAATGCTTCAAGACAAGGGAGGAAATGAAGTTGGGCAGATCGATCTGTGAGCCAACTATTGTTTTATACTTGGGTTTGGTTTAGATTTTATAGAATTTGTTTAAAAGTAAGTTTGATCATTATTGGTACCCATGCTTTTGAATTTTGAGCATCATTCAACTATTTTGTTAATTAAAAGCAACTCTAGTTCGAATCGAAGCTTAATTTGCCCTATCCTCAAAAGCTCTTATGGTCATTGAAATCTCAAGCAAATTACGCACAAGAAATTAACAAGACAAAAAGATTTGTTCGATTTTTCTGACTATGTACGGTAGGCATTGGAAACTTGTCTCAGCAATCATGTCTTGTGTTTCATTTTTGATGTTGAACATGGCATCTTTCTATGTTGTTTAGGCACAAATTGTACTAAGAAGGAAGCTTTATAGCTTTTAGAATATATATAGTCAAAGGCAATCTTTTAAAATTTGATGGTCACCACTAATTCCCCCCCTTATATTCTTCCTTGATAATTCTGATACATATGTTATATATATGTTGATTTCTGGCCACCAAGCACCATGATTGTTTTGAGTGAGAGAGAAAATTAGGTTTTCTTTTGATGCATGGTCGGTTGAAGTATGAAAAGGTTGAATCTATTATATAGGGTTATGAGGTCTTTAGCTTAAGTTGAATGCACTTTCAACCCTCTAAAGGACTCTCTTTTCAAACTCAACAAAGCCAGACAGGACCCACTTCTGTGGTGTAATTTCTCCACAACTATATCAACATATATATATATATATATATATATAAGCAGGATAAGAATTGCTAATAGCAGACAGCTTTCCATCCAAGAAAAGAGAAATGTAAAAAGGTTCATGGTGAATGAAAATTTTCTCATATACAATCACACTTGACAAAGGAAGCTTCCTAATTTTCTTTTGATTTTTCAGTTTTTTATTTATTTATAAATAACTAACGATGCAATGTATTGATTGATATTTTTCATATATTCTTTTAATATGTAGAAAACATCCTAATATACCAAGATGAGTCATTTCATCTTTACAAAAGATTATGCATTGTTTCCATCGCTTTCGTTTAATAAGCGAATTAAATGTGATCTAAGTTTTTAACTAATTGATTTCAGATTGAGCTCAAAACTTTAAAAATATCGTAATATTGTCGGTCACATCTCTAGGTTGCTTCCGTGTATTTCAAAGTGAATAGTACTAGCGCCTGAAATAGGAGCTTTTTCTGGCTGCCATTTCTGATTGCAACGACTTCTGAAGGATTCGGGTTTTTGATAAATCTCAAGCCACACCATTGAGCTTGGGCTTCTTCAAAGCAAGCAAAAGTTTCCTTTGGGCTTCTTCACCGAGTTTGGGTCCCTGCTGCCCGAAGTTTTACCCAGTGGACGTGGCTCTTATTTTGATACATATTGAAGGTTTATTTGGCCATAGAGCTCCTAATCTAATCTAAATTACTGCCTACTTTTGACTTGGATTAACTATTAATCCTCTCCTAATCTACTCATATTACTCTTGTTAGTTACACATAATAACAAGGAAGCTGGATATGCTTTATGCCATCCCTACATGCATGAGCAAACAACATTAATATACAATGTAACACTCGCTACTTGCTCTTATACTTGGTTAATAATAAGTTACATTAAAATATTGGGATGTGAATTTCAACTAACCCAATAAAATATAAAAATCAATCTAGTCCGTGACCCCTTTCAACATTTCGGGCTCTATGAAGCATTGGTTTTATGACTTACTTCAAAGTGTTATAATTTGTGTCGTATTGATTCAGAGTGCTAGGGTCAGTCGCCCATGTAATTTTTTGCCATAAACGCATATAAATCCCATTATAAACCTTACATGCATCAATCAACAACTAGCAAATCAGTCATTAGCCGGCCAACATTTGACTGATCCTATAAATTTCCTTTTAATTAAAGCATTATTAGACAAATAAATTCCTAATTTCAAGCGGACAAAAAAAGAAGAAATTGAAATTCCAAACTGAACTACTATTGGGCTTTGTTTGTTTGTTTTTAGTTTTGGGCTTTAAGTTAGTTGTTGCTTGTCTGGGCCCATGGGCTAATTCTTAGTTGTTTTTCTTTTCTGACCTGGACTTTCTGGTATCAATTTTTAGGGAGACTTTGGAAAAACACAAAGGAGAGAGAAATTTTGTAAAACAAGCCAAAATAGACAAAATTGCCCTTATTTATTTTTGAATTTTCTAAGGAATCCTTTACATTTGCATGTCTTTGATTTGAAAGTTGAGAAGTTTTTCTGTCTTTTTTAAACAAGTTTTGACTTTTTCCAAATGTGAAATTTTTTTTTTGACTAAAACCTAAATTTACTCAATATTTATTTATTTACCCGAAAGGAAACACCAACAAAACCAACAGATCCAAAATACCTCATTCAAACGTTTAAAAATAAAAAAAAATTTATCACGTTCTCTGCTGCTCGCGAGTTGCTTGCCAGGGGCAAAACTGCAACGCCTCCATTGTTGTTCGTGCGTACAACTTCCAGTAGTTAGCAGAACCACTCTACCAGGCACCAGGTACTCTTTTCCTCTTGGACTTCTTACTTATTAATCTTTTATTTGACTAAATAAGGGTGGCTGTGATGAAACTAGGGCTGTTATTTTGGGGGTTTAGGGGCTGTCATGGTTTGGGATTCGTTGAAATTGGGGGTGGGTTGTGGTTGTTGTGATTATGTAAGTGCTAATTTGTTTACATTAATGCCTTTTGTTTTTATTTTCGATGGGCTGCTGAATTTTTTTTCAAATTTCATCTTTATTTGATGCCCAATGTATCTGTGCGCTGTGGACGTGGTGAAAGCTTCTCTTTTTTCTTTTGTTTTTTTATTATATATTTTGTAATTGATTGATGG